AAATGATTTATGAACACGACAATACTGAAATCGACAAGGTAACCTTGTATTAGAGTTTTCACATATATATGATAATGCTATACAAGATGAAGGTACCCAGTGTGTTTGAAATAGGAAACACAATGCACTATTATTTAAAAATTCCAACACACCTGAAATGCAAAATTTCTTCAAAATGACCTTCTCAAAGTTAGTGCATCAGAGATGGGATTATTGGGAAATGAAGGAAGGAGTTAAAGAACAACCCAACAAGGGTAGATTAGCTGAAACGCGTTAAACGTGTTAAATGCAGTGATATTTAGCATCAATGCCACTGGCAATCACTGCATGGAAGGTCAATTAAGAAACAAAAAATTTTTCCCATTCTTAGATTTCGACATTGAAGTTAAATAGCTTAATTATGCTTTCTGTTTAGTTCACTACTTTCTAAAAAGTACTGTACACTTAAATTATATTTGTGTACCTCCGGTTCAGTAGGCCTCAGAGGTAGACGCGGTTTGCCACTTCACACAACCACAACAAAATTGCAGCTAAAAGATAGAAAGCCATCACTCAGAACTGACGGGAGTCAAACTGAATGGAAGTCTGACAACAGTGGAATAAAAGAAACCACATCCATCCGGACCGATCTGGCAAACTGGCGCCGTATCCAAGATTCCATCAACCTGGCTAACACTGTTTGACACATCTTGAGGATCCCCAGAGACATGGCCTCACCCATCTTATGGGCCCACCCCAGCTTATTTCCCACAGGAATGGCTGGCCTTGACTCATGCTTCACAACTTCCTCAATCCTTTCCAACAAGCAGCAGCTGGTCTCAGCGAGTCCCAGGCCCTGAACTCCCAGCCTCCATTCACAGTGTGGCTTCTCCTGGAAATCTCCAACCCCAACACAAGCAGCAGCGTCCATCTCAGATAGCTTTATAATTCAGACAGGGCGGCCCTGGGAAAAATATAGGTAGGGGCTGATCTTGGCCGGCCCCATCCAGGAAACCGCAGGGCTAGCCCACCCAGTGGACAGCTACAGACCAAATTGGAGCGCCATCACCCAGTCTCCACACAGCTGGTCCTCCACAGAGGGTGGACGTTGGTGGTAAGTAGTCACAGCAAATCCTTGCAGCTGACTGGCTTGGGTAAATCCTTCCCATTAATCTGCCAACAGCAACCAAATCTCAGCTACAAGGGGAGGGTGTCCTCAGCCCACATGAAGGACAAACCTCAAGTACCCAGCTTGGATGATATGGGAGGCTGTGCTACTGGACTCTGCAGAATACCTACCACATTAGACCATACTACCAAGACACGGGGTTGAAACAATCAAAATAAGAACAAAGCTCTAAGCAAAATTTGATGAAGTCTCACAAAAAGTAACAGGATCTGAACACAATCCCAATGTCCATCAACAGGGGACGAAAATGTAAAATATGATCTCTTGGGTTGATGCAACCCTAGGACATTAACAAAATAGATGTACATAACATGAAGTGATCAAATGCAATGAGAAAATGTAGAACATAGAATAGATCGTAGACCACACTGATCACCAGCCTTTAAAAAAGAACACTGAATATAATCATGGACAACAGTGTGGTGGTTGTGGGGGCAGAGAGGGGATATTAGGGATAAATGGTAATGGAAAAAATATGATTACAAAGTTTTAAAAATAAAAATGAGGGAGAAAAGAGAACACAGACAAGTAAAGAACTAGATTGTGGTAATAGCAGTAGAGGTAAAATCTTTAAAGTAAATTTGTTTATTATATGATTTAAATAAATTATAAGTTTGGTTTGTATTCTTGTCTTTTTTCATTTATGTATTTCCTCTTTGACTTTAATTACAGCAACCTTCTTATCATATAGTAGAAAAAGAACTTACAGAATTGTGTCACCTAATAGCTACATAATTTTATTAACCTTTGTCACCCCAATACATTCAATTAGAAATTAATAAATATCAGCAAAAATGTTGCTATGTGGGGTGTCTGAATTTTACTGCCTGTTTTCTTCTAAAATTTTTTTTGGTTTCATGACTTACATTTAAATATGTTATCCATTTTAAGTTTATTCTTGTGTACAGTGTGAGTTGGTAGTCCTTTTTTATTTTTTATTTTTTGACAACTACCATATGACTTCACCCACATTGGAATCTGAAAACAAAATAAAACATGTGAATAAAAAAAATAAACAGATGGTTGCCAGAGGGGGGTTGGAATGGGATTAATGCTGAAAAAAGTGAAGAGGACTAAGAGGTACAAACTTCCAGTTATAAAGTAAATGAGACACGGGGATATAATGTACAGCACAGAGAACATAGTCAATAGCATTACAACTTTGCCTATAACAAATGGTTACTAGACATGTCATAGTGATCACATCATAAGGTATACAAATGTAGAATCACTGTGTTGTACACCTGAAGCTAAAGGAATGTTATACGTCAACTGTCATTGAAAAAAAAGGAAAAGATCACGTATGCATTTTTTAATTTTGATTAGTGATTACTCATAATATTATTACTTTTCCTTAGGGTAATGACCAGCTTACCTGATCCTTAGCAATGTATTGGCTAATCCCCATCTTGGCCAAGAGAGCATATTATCAATTTGAGAGGATTTCTGTCAGTCTACTAGGTAAAACGATGTAAGAGTTATTATTTTTTTTGTTTCGAATTACACCCATTTATTATCTCACATTGTTTTAGGTCAGAAGTCCAAAGAAGCTTGACTGGATGCTCTGTTTAGTTAGGGTAAAATTAATGTGTTAGCCAGGAATGCACTTTTTATTTGGGTTTGTAGTCCACCTCCAAAGGCACTGATTGTGGAACAATTTTCTTCTCAGAATTCACAGGTGATCCTCTTTACTTTCCAGTGAACAACAGGAGTTCTAGTCTTCTCATGCTTTTAATTTCTCATTTGTCTTTGGCTACCAGCCAGAGAAAGATCTCTGCTTTTGAGGGTAATCCATAATCTCCCTGTTTTATAATCAGCAGATTATTAGTTTAAATTAGATCTCTTAAGTCTCTTTGTCCATACAACATATTTCCATTGGATTCCTGAGACTAACACCAGTGGGCAAAGGTCATGGAACTACCATAGTTTCTGTATATTTGTTTGGGGGTGGGAGGGAGCATGAACATGCAGGAATAAAAACCATTAATATATATTATAACCTAAGTTTAATTACATGAAAACCCTTTTATATGAGGAAAGTAAGCATCTAAGTATCATTTCCTTCACATATTTGACAAAAAATCCTTGAAAAACAAACAAAAATGTGACTTGACTTATTAGTGCTGAATAAAATTAAATTTATACAAAAGCTTGATATTATTTCACATTCCTCCTAATGAATATCACAGAATTTTGCAAACATTATTCACTAAATAAATTATTAAATTGCTATATCTGAAGGCCATAAAAAGGGCAACTCCATAGTAGATGATATTTTCATGGAACTTTATCAGTTTTAAAATTAAAAATTCATATGAGACTCGTTCTTTCCAGTAGCTTTCTTTTGCAAATTACAATGAAATTTCCAGAGGCATTAATGTCATGTATATTACTACATAATATAAAGAGCATTTGTATGTTTTTACTCACTGTATCAAATTGGAATTCTCAAAACTATCAGATCTAAACATGCTGACTAAAAATGGTGGTCCAGGGATCAACAAGCATTTTGCTTAAACTCAGTGAGATTTCAGGAGGGGGAGGCGCTACTTCCAAGGGAAGCTCACGCAAGGGAGGGTTCCTGCAGGAGGCTGCGCTAGAGCTGGCCATCGAGGCGAGGATGGCATTAGCCGCCACACTCCTGGGAAGCACTGGCTGACTCTGTCTGCTTGGAACTATGAGCAAGTCTTCTTGTGAGGCTGGATATTGTTAAAATTGGATGTGAAAAATCCTATTAATATCAGGAGAAAATCATTGTTGTCTAAGTTCATTTGCCTACCTACTTTCCCAACTGTTTTTTTTAAAGTTCACCTTTCTTCTGTTTTCGGTGTCTATAACCTTTTGTGACGTAGTATTTACTTATGGAGAAGTACTGGACACAATCTGTTTCTCTTTGGAAAGATAATTTACCGAAATAATTATCTATCATTTTTTTACTCCTCTAAAGCCCATTCACATGAAGTTATGATATGTATGGTGCTCTATGACAGAGTCTTTTTGAAAAAGGTACAAAAGTGATAGTTCAGTTGAAATTTTTAAAATTAATTTCTTTTGAATGGTTTCAGGTTAACAATCTCATCTGTATTGTACTAGAATCTACCTTGTCCTTTGGAAACTTTAAGCAGGAAACTTCCTTTTCCTAGTCATTATTTATCCAAAGACAAACAACTGACTGCCTTAGATGTTACTAAAGATTTAGTAAGGTAACATTTGCATAGTATATCTACTCACTGTGCTATATATAAATGTCTCCTGGACCAGTATATTCTGTTGCAGAGGCTGTTACATTTTGTCTTGCCTGCCTCCAATGATGAGCTCCCAAACCTTTTTACATTTATTTGCCAATTCAGAACAAGAGCCTGACTTTACCAGTCAAGAATTTCTCACAGAACTAAGGTACTGCCCTATACACAGTAGATTCCTGAGGCAGATTTCTCAAATGGAAGAGCTTTCTTTTCCTTGACAAAGTTCTCAGTACAAATGAGCTGAGAAATTTTTATCCACATCTAACAGTAGCACTGAGTCATTTTACTCCAGTGGGGAACCAAATGACAAGGGGTCCCAGTGAAATGATTCTCCTTTGTTCTCACCTGCAAAGCCATTCTCTTTCAGTATCTGCAGAGATCCTCAGGTAAAGACAATAGGCAGCAGATTATTCCAGAAGATGAAATATATTGTCTAGAGGTCTTAAAGAGTGTACTTTGATCTGCTTTCTCCCCACACAGATGAGCTGACATTCTTAATTGGACCCATGGAGCACATTGCGCAAACTTCTGGCAGCAGGGCGTGAGTCGGAGGACCTCCCCCTGGGTCCCATGCTCAAGGACGTGGCTCTGTCACCAGGTGGTGCCACCAGTCTGTTGACCCTTAAGCTTAAATTAACTTTCCTGTATTATCCTCAACATATCCCAGGACACAAGCAGGGTGAATTCTTCAAGAGAAGACAAAAACTCCAAGAACAGCTAGGCCTGCTGCCAGGACCCAGATAAGAAACCCAAGGACCACAACAGTGAAACTGGTTTGCACAGGGAAGATCCAAGATAACATCTGAAACCCCTTTTCCAAGAGACCTTTTGATGACCTTTCCTTCATAAGCATACTAAAGACACACTCAAAACAGTAGCCTTGGGCTCAGGCACTGGATTGTCCAGAGCTGAAGAGGTCCACAGAAGCCGTGGAACACAGGTCAGATTCTTCGGCAATTTCCAGGAGCTTGGGAGGTAAGTACTATGTATTTCATCATATTCTGGCGATGTGATCATACTATAAAAACCATACTCACTGTTCCCAGACTGATATGTGAAGGGCATACTCCTACTCATAACAACCTCTCTGGGTTACTGTGGTACCCAATCCAGAGGGTACCCAGAACTCATTGAACCCACCAGCCACTCAGCAAAATCTTGAGCTGCAGGCAAGGAGAACACAGAGCTTCAGCCCTGCTATGCGGAGATCCCAGAGTCAGCCTAGCTATTAATCCGAGCATGAAGGAGAAAAGGAAATGAAGGAAGGAAGAACAAATCAGGAAAGCTCAAGAGAGGATGAGAAAAAAGTAGGACCCAGATAAGAAAAAGCTAAAGGAGCTCATCACCACCAAACCAGTGAGACATTTTCAAATTATTTTCTTAGAGGCTATGTAATTATTAAAAATTTTTATAAGTTCATCTATGTTTTTTACAATTACCACTCCCTGGGACACTCCGCTTCCCCCAAGTTAAGGGCATGCTAAATGACTTTGCATTGAAGTAGCCCAATTACTCACAAACCACATTCATAGCGCCCCCTGGTGGACATGATGCTCTAATAGACCTTGTAAACTCTTGCACTTGGATGAATTAGAAATAGCATTCCCAGTCACGCTACTGTGGTTCTCACCCCATCTCTGCCCTCAGCCATCTTCTTAATTTTCTCTGCATTTTTATGTAGTTGTGTGTTTGTTTCTCACAAAGTGTTGGTGAAGCTATCAGAGAACACAGGATGGGGGCACAGGGGCCAGGACCCAGAAGTTTAAGAGTTTTACTCGAGGTTCTTTCTCAGACTCAGCGCAGGCCATGTCTGTTCTGCAGGTCTCTGTTCCTCTGCAGTCAAACAGGAGAGGTAGCTGATCTCCCAGGAGGCTTGCGGCAGTACAGTGCAGTGTGGTAAAGCTTGGACTCTGGGGCCAGGCCAGCTTGGATTTACATTTGAGCTTAGAACTTGAGGCCTTATTTCACATCCATGAACTTTAACTTTCTGATCTGTAAAATGGGGATAATGATGATAACGGCTGTTCTTGGGGTTGTGGTGAGGTCAAATAGGAGCATCTATGCAAAGCCCTGGCTCAGGGCTGGCACATTCATCAGCATGTTCAGTGTTCCGTTGGTGGCAGTGGCTATCTTCATTAGTGCCACGATGGTCCTCCAGTGACATGGTCCATGGCATGACTTTTGGTAAGAAGTAGCCGAGGGAACATTGCCTTCAGAGTCAATCTTTGTTCCTTCCTCCTCTTCATCATCTAATTTTTCCCATCCTTCCGGGTCTAGCTCCTGCCCCTATAAGACATTTTAAAGGGACTTTTTGAAGAAGGAAAAAGAAGAGGGAAGAGGGAGAAAAATCAAAATTATCAGTAAGAAAATGGCAATAACTATATACCTATCAATAATTAACTTTAAATGTAAATGGAGTAAATGCTCCAATCGAGACATAGGATGGCTGAATGGGCAAGAAAACAAGACCCATACATATGCTGCCTGCAAGAGACCCATTTCAGATTGAAAGATGCACAAAGACTCAATGGAAAGGGATACAAAAAGATATACAAACAGAACTTTTTTAAAAACTAGGATGGCAACACATATCAGACAAAATAGACTTTAAAACAAAGGCTATAAGAAGAGGGAAAAAAAGGACGTTACATATACCATAGCCAAGACATAGAAAGCAACTTAACTGTCCATTGGTAGATAATTGGATAAAAAAGAGGTGGTACATGTGAAGTATGAAATATTACTCAGCCATAAAAAAGGAAGAAATCTCACCGTTTATGAGAACATGGATGGACCTAGAGGGAATCAGGTTAAATGAAATGTCAGGCAGGAATAGACAATACCATATAATTTAATTTATACGTGGAATTTAAAAACTAAAATAAATGAACAAACAAAACAGAGTAAGACTCATAGATACAAAGAACAGATTACAGCCTGCCAGACAGGATGTAGTTGGTGTTGTTGAGTAAAAAAGGTGAAGATTAAGAAGTACAAATTGGTAGTTACAAAATAGTCACGGCAATGTAAAGTACAGCACAGAGAATATAGTCAATAACATTGTAATGACGATGTATGCTGCTAGGTGGGGACTAGGCTTAACAGAGGACTATTTTCTAAGTTATGGAAACATCTAGTTACTTTTCTGTACTCCTGAAACTTATATAATATTGAGTGTCAACTGGAAAACGTTTAAAAATGGTTTTAATAAAATAAAAATGTAAAAGGAAAATGAGAAAAGCAACAGTTTTTTAAAAATGGCAGGGGAGAAGGAAGAAAAAGAGAGGAAGGGAAGTCTTAATTTTCCTGAAGTTACTTGCAACAAATAACTCTATGATAATGGGCTGTATTATTCCCAAAAAGGGGGTAATATAATTCCAGGGACTATCAATTTTGGGCAGAAAGTAAGGAAATTTAGGAGGAACATACGCAGACGAGTTGGCCACAGTCTGCTGCTGCCGCTATGACAATGACCCCCAGGCACCTCCATATTCTGCAGACGAGTTCCCGCCCAGGTTCCAGGAAGGAGCCTCCGCGTGGCCTGGACCTCGTGCTCACTGCTTGGTGCACTTGGCCAGGATGATGGAAGACTGGCACCTTCAAAATCTAAACTGAGACCTGTGACCTCTAAAAAGAGTATTTAAACATGAATGCTAGTTCTGGCTGTAAATCCCACTGGGAATTCTCCTGCCTATGCTGGAGAGGAAAGCTTGATTTGCTAAAAGAGAAGGGCTTAGCAGTTTTCTTGGCTGGTTGCAGTGAACTCGTCTCAAACTGGAACAGAAATAAATAGCTTGACATTTCAAAAAAATATTTACTTATTTTTATTTATCAATCTTTATTTTCCAGGGTAAGGGTAGGAAGGTGGGACTGGAGGCACCTAGTCACCTGAGTCCCAATACAGCCCTTTGCGGGCTGGCCCCAGGCCCACTGGGCTTCTTGGAGGAGGCTGGCCGCGGGGATCTAAGTCGGAGGGCCGCGAGGAAGGGGGATGCTCAGGGGCCTGATCCACCCGCTCGCCCGCCCTCCAGCGCCGCAGCTGCTGCCCAAGTGCGGTCTCTTGGGGGTTTGGTGCACTTGAGACACCGCGCCCCAGCCTGCGAGCCGGTGACCATAATGGCGGAGGCTGCCCAGGCCCAGCCCGACCCAGGCTCACGTTTCTTTCTTTCTTTTAAAAATGTGGTTGTCGATGGTTTATTGATAATATCACAGCACAGCAGAAGGATTCAAACAGCTCCATGTGGTGTTTTGGAATTTATCCCAACCATAGGCTGAGAGGCCTGCAGTTTGGACAGACTGCCGAAGTCCAAGAGCTTCAACGTCTCCCTAATGTCAGGATCAACTGCAGCGATCTCCCGACCCAGGACTGAGACCTCAGGAACGCAATTCCCGCTCCCTCTCCTCTTCCTGAAGCTTGATGGAGATGTCTCTCACGGGGTCGCTCTGAATCTGTTTCATCATGCGGGACATAACCCGCCATCTTCTTTCGGAGCTTCTTGCTGGGCTAATGGCTCTTTCACCAAGGACCTCCCAAGATGGGCTGCGTTTGCACCAAGACTTTGCAGAAGGTGACCCAAATTATCATAGAGAAGTATTACACACACCCGGACAATGACTTCCACACCAACAAGCGCATGTGCAAGGAGACTGACCCAGCCTTGACCACTGGCTTCCGACCCCAGCCTGAAACCAGACTCCCAGCAGTACCTCAGCTCCACCTGTGGACCCCGCCTGTGACCTCTCACTCACCACAAGGCCTGTCTGCTGGCCTTGTGGCTGAAGGCCGGCCGGGGTCAGGGGGTGGAAACCGGGTGATCCAGGTGGCGCTGTTGGGGCCTGAATAAACAAATGGGACCTCATCAAAATAAAAACTCTGCACAGCTAAAGTAAACATAATCAAAATGAAAAGGGAATCAACAGTATGGGAAAATAGATTTTCCAATGATACCTCAGATGAAGGTTTGATCTCCAAAATATATAAAGAACTCACATGACTCCACTTCAGAAAGACCATCCAATTAAAAGATGATCAAAGGACCTGAACAGACACTTCTCCAAGGAAGACACACAGAAGGCCCATAGGCACATGAAAGGATGCTCAGCATCACTAGCCATCAGAGAGATGCAAATGAAAACCACAATGAGAGAAAAACCCACACTGATAAAAATGGCCATTGTAAACAAATCAACAAACAAAAAGTGCTGGCGAGTTTGTGGAGAAAAGAGAACCCTAGTACTTTGTTGGTGGGAATGCAGACTGGTACAGCCACTGTGGATGGAAAACAGTGTGGAATTTCCTCAAAAAACTACAAATGTAACTGCCTTTTGACCCAGCAATTTCACTGCTGGGATTATACCCTAAGAATCCTGAAACACCAACACAAAAGAACCTATGCACCCCAATGTTCAGAGCAGCATTATGTACAATAGCCAAGTGCTGGAAGTAACCCAGGTGCCCATCTGTAAAGGAGTGGATCAAAACACTCTGGTACATTTACACAATGGAATACTATGCAACAGAAACAAAAAAGGAGTTCCTACCTTTCAAGATAGCATAAACTGAACTGAAGAGCATTATGCTAAGAGAAATAAGCCAGGTGGTAAAAGACAGATGCCACATGATCTCACCTATCAGCGAAACCAAATCAACAAAACAAACAAGCAAGCAAAATACAACCAGGGACATTGAAATAAAGAACAAACTGAAAGTAACCATGGCAGGGAGGGGAATAATGGGGAAAAGAAAGGGCAGGGTCATCAAAGAATATGTACGAAGGACCCATGGACAAATCCAAAAGGGTAGGGCTGAGGGGGGGAAGTAGGGGAAAGTGGTGGCAGGAAAATGGAGACTACTATATTTGAACAACAATAAAAATAAAAGGAAAAAAATCTCAGCTGAACTGTCATTATTCTTTTTCACATTCATTTTAAACGTCTCCCATATAGCACCATACATATATATCATAAATTTCATG